TCAGATGGAGTGTGGAGGTGGGAAAAGATGATTTAGACACCAAAACCTTCCTCCTTCCCATCGACCCGATCGTCGGAAACTACCTCCATATATGTCTGAAATTGTTGACCTGAACGTCGCTAGAATGTTAGAGGCTGAGGGTTTGTGTAATGACAAAGAACATGGTTTGGCATGCGGAATTAAACCTTGCACAATTGAACATGGTGATTTGGGTGTTTAAGAGATATATTGAATGTATATGGTGTTACAAAAAAAAAAGACTAGATCTAGACTACATAATTAACACACACTTACACACTCACTTTTACATCTCTCAAGCACACCTCTATAAGTGGACAAACCCACTATTTATAGAGGTGTTTACATGTCTCTCTCTCACTCTAACTACCAAATGGGTCTAAAGGCTAAAGCACCACATGCAAGTGGGTTTTACAAAAGTCAAACATTTACAAAGTCATGAATGAAGAACTTTGCACCCCAACATTCTCCCCCTCAAAGTTAGGAATGAATGACCCATTTCAAATCTTCCAAAATCAAGCACTACGCGGTTCGAGCCTCAAAGGTGACACATGTCGAAACGAACTTCAATCTTCAATTCTTCCATGACTCTTCAATTTGGGCTCTAGGATGTGAGACCATACAAACCAAGCAGCAACGAATGATTAAGAGTATTCCAAACTCCAAATAATCACCCAAAAGTTGCGCATAAAAACACACCCTAAAAATCTTCAATAAAACCAAACCCATTTCGAATACATCACTTCCGAACTTCTAATTGCATCATCTCATAAGCTTCAAAACTTCAAGATCACTTTGGTCTTCAAATCCGCGTAATATGAAAAATTCAAGTTCAAATTTCCATATAAAACTTCTCCCCCTTTTTATAATCGAAATTTGATTATAAAACTCCAAAGGAAAAAGAACGTGCTCTATTCGGAATTTTTCATGTCAAAACTACCCCTTAACATGTGGCATAAAATTTGTGCTTCAATCAGGAAAACCCAAAAAATATTCAATTTTTATTGTCGTTCACGGATCGTCTTTGACAAAATTTCTCAAAAATGGGTAGAAATTGTCAATTTCAAAATTCTGCAGTGACCCGTTGCGCCCAAAACAGCAAAATATGCAAAACTCTTCCCTTTTCCAAAGTTGGGTAGAAAGCGTCAATTTGCACAAACTGCAGGGGCCTGAAATGCATAATCTTCAATTTTCAGCAAAAAATAGTTCTTTTTCGAATTTGGGTGAAAACTGCCAAAAATTCGAAGTTTCAGGGATCATCTTCGTGAATTCTGCCCTTTTTCTCAAACATACGAAGACTTGTACCAAAAATGCGAAGCCACAAACAATTTTCGAAGTTGGGTGAAAAATGTTAAACATACGAAAACTTGCTTTAATTTTCGAAGTGACAAAAATTCGAAGGTTCAGGGGCTGTTTTTGAAACTTTTTCCTTTTCCATGCCAAAACACACGAAGACTTTGACAAATTGCAAAACATAAGATTGATGAACCATACTAAGGGTTTAATTCTTTGTCAGACAGTTGAAACTTCAAGGGCCATAACCGAAACTTTTCTTTTCCTTCTTTCGTTCATTCTCACCGTTTCTTCCTTTTTCAGTTCTTACGAAGCATACGAAGACTATATTATGAACAGTAATATCCTTCGTATGTTTTTTTTTTTTCCGTTGATCCTTCGCATTTTGCAATCTAGATCTCCAAAATCAAATTTACGTTCTTAGGGTCTTTGTTTCTTAGTGTTCTTCCCAAACCCAACACAAGTACCCTTCGAATCTGGAACCCAAACTCTTCGTTTTTTCAATTCAGCGAGATCAAAATTTCGAGACTCCAAAATCAAACCTAACACCAACTCAGCCTTCGCTTTAATCATCCAAACCAAAATCAATTTCACATCACCAACCCTTCGAAAATCAACAATCAAAATCCTTCGTATATTCAAAATCGATTTCCAAACTAACGAACATATACTCCAACTTAACCATTCCTTCTCTTTTTGTAACCAAAAACTTTGCTAGCAACATAGTATTCCAAAATCGAGTTCCACGCCTTCGTTTTCAACACATAACGTCAACTATAAAAATCGAATGTCTACCCTTTGTTATCGATCTGTTCTTTGACAATGAAATTGAACAATCGTTCACAGTCAAAATCAGATTTTCTTCAATCAAGTGCCCTTTGACATTCAAAAGTCAATCTAACCATTAGTTTGATTCCCCAAACAGTCGACTTCCAGGAACCAATCCAAAACAAATTCTAATTCAAGCAAAATCAGTTCGATCAAGATTTCACGTCACAATTTTGACTTTTTCTAAAATTGACTTTTCAAAATCAAAGTGCAAGAAACACGAAATCGGAGATTACAATGCCCAACTTCAGATCAAAACAAGTTCAAACAACTGTTATTCATCCTATCGGAGTGTTCTTGGTCGAAATCTTTAAAATCAAAGATTCGGGTTCTAATTTCTAAAATACAACTTGATCAAAATTGATTTCCTCATATGAGAAATCATACGAAATTGATTTCCAATCTCATATTAAAAATTAACAACAATCATATCCAATCAATTTATAGATATAAAGAAACGAAAACGAAGATTTAGGAATAGTTAGACGAAAATCGTGAATCAAGAGCATTTTGAAGTACAACCATGTTAAGCATAGAAACAAAACACAAAAAGTGAACATCGAATACAAGCGATTGAACTGATTTAGTGAAGTTTGGGCTTATAGCATTTTAATATTGGATCACAAGACAATGTTTGGACGCAAAATTTTTAGTGAACAATGATGGATTAAATCTTTAGGATTTAGATTTGGGCTTGATAAAAAAAAAATTATTGGATCACAACAAATGGGTTTTTTAAGAAAAATTTGATCCAACGAGTTAAACGATCAAAAATTAAAAACGCAACGCACGAATTCAATGATAATTAGAGAGATCATAGAGAGAGACTCACAAAAATTGATCAAATTGCGACAAAAATTTGCCAAATCGAGAATCGTTCTTCAAATATCACCTTGATCTTGAAGACCCGCTCTGATACCAATTGTAGTGACAAAGAATATAGTTTGGCATGCGGAATTAAAGTTTGCACAATTGAACATGGTGATTTGGGTGTTTAAGAGATATATTGAATGTATATGGTGTTACAAAAAAAAGACTAGATATAGACTACATAATTAACACACACTTACACACTCACTTTTACATCTCTCAAACACACCTCGACAAGTGGACAAATAAAACATATAATTTCTTCTGCCTTCGTCTCCTTCGTTCTCACTCGATCCATACGCCAACGAAAACCCCATCACCGCCACCTTCACCAACTCTGTCATCATCACTATCATCTCTAACTCTTAAAACCTGCAACAAGATTCGACTATGGCCACCATATTCTCCATATATTACCCACCCTACAAAGAATCCATCGAAACAAAATCGATCGGGACATCCATGGTGGTGATTTTTCTAGATTTGACAATGTCGTGCATGTCGGGGTTACTCTCTTCATAGAGCTTCAACAAAAGAATATACCCAACTGACCATAGCTTTATTTGATTTGCCAAATTGCTTGACAAGAAATCGAGTTTCGAGAATTCGTATGTACCAAGCCGTAATTTATTCCCGATATATTATGTGATGAACCATCACAGTTCTTCAACATGAGGGGGAAATCCAAGGTAAAGATTTTTCCAGATTTGGTAAAAATTCATATCTGCTTAGGGGTTGAACTAATACAAGTGTGTGTTTCCAGAAGAATCCATCAAAACCAAATCAACCAGAAACACAAAATCAAAATCGATTTAGGAAGGGTGGAGAAGGGGAAATGAAGAAATAGGGATAAGCTGCTCGGTGAAACAATTGGGAAGGGCATCTTTCGAAGACTAAACCTTCACCCGTTTCCTCCGATCTCCTCTTTGCCTCTCATAGGAAACATAAATTTGTGATGGGGTGTTCTTGGTGTTTCTAGAAGGGTGTTCATCAGATGGAGTGTGGAGGTGGGAAAAGATGATTTAGACACCAAAACCTTCCTCCTTCCCATCGACCCGATCGTCGGAAACTACCTCCATATATGTCTGAAATTGTTGACCTGAACGTCGCTAGAATGTTGGAGGCTGAGGGTTTGTGTAGTGACAAAGAATATGGTTTGGCATGCAGAATTAAACCTTGCACAATTGAACATGGTGATTTGGGTGTTTAAGAGATATATTGAATGTATATGGTGTTACAAAAAAAAGGCTAGATCTAGACTACATAATTAACACACACTTACACACTCACTTTTACATATCTCAAGCACACCTCTATAAGTGGACAAACCCACTATTGATAGAGGTGTTTACATGTCTCTCTCTCACTCTAACTACCAAATGGGTCTAAAGGCTAAAACACCACATGCAAGTGGGTTTTACAAAAATCAAACATTTACAAAGTCATGAATAAAGAACTTTGCACCCCAACAGTTTGATAGCTCGTCGGAATCCTAGAATGTGAGGGTGAGGTTTAATGAGAAAAAAATAAATAAGAGGAAGGACTGTTATTTTTGTTTCTAAATATAATTATAATTAATAATACTAAATAAATCAAAATAATTAGAAAATATATAAATAAAGGCCATTATGGTCATTTCAGATCTTATATGGACTAGATTTGCAACAAAACCACGTATCAGGAATGGAGTGTGCAACTTTTAAACAAATGAGGGACGGTCCGAGTTAATTTTTGAAAATAGGGACTAAACACGCTTTCTGGCACGTATACGAGGGACAATTGGTGTAATTTACCCTACAATCATTCTACAGTTGTCTATGAAGCACAAATGACCTCACTGCCCCCAATAACTGACATGCTTAAAATTATGATAATAACAATAACTTTTCTAGAGAACATAATTCTAATCTAGATAAAAAATTGCCAACTTTTTTTAAAATATCTGACTTAGAAACTTACATAAATAAATGTTAACTTTGATGCAAATATTTATGGATACAGTTGTATTGGTGGATGCTCACGGGGAAATGCTAGACAATATAGAGACACAGGTAGGGCTGTAAACGAACTGAACGTTCGGCGAACCGTTCAGGAACTGTTCGGCGGGAAGTTCGTTTATGTTCGTTTATTTAATAAATGAACGAACATGAAAAAAAATTATCGTTCGTTTAGTTAAATGAACGAACATGAACAATGATCTCGTTCGTTCATTTATGTTCGTGAACGTTCGTTTATGATGTTCATTTACGTTCGTTTATGTTCGTTCGTTTAAGTTTATTTATATTCATCTATATTCAATTATTTTTTATTATATTGCTATATTATATGTTCGTTTATGTTAATATATGTTCAATTGTGTTTTTTTATCTTTGTTCGTTTATGTTTGTTCGTTTATGTTCGTTTAGCATGTTCACGAACATAAATGAACGAACATGAACAAAGTAATTTGTTAAACGAACGAACATGAACAAAAAAATCTCGTTCGTTTATCCGTTCGTGTTTGTTTGTTGTTCGGCTAACTTAAACGAACGAACATGAACAAGACCTTGTTCGTGTTCTTTTGGTTCGTTTACAGCCCTAGACACAGGTAATTGAACATTTTGCCCTTTTAGCTCTCCAACCAAACAATTAAACAAACATCAAAAGTCACACACCCTTGGTTGTTAGTTATTGTTGTTGTTTAAGTTGAACGGTGGTATATAAGTTTTGGGGTGGGGTTGAAAAGACTGTTTTGACGTTTTGTAATTTTAATGGTGAATAGGTGTCAAGTGCAGTTGACCATGTGCAAGATAGGAACAAAGCCCTTTACAAAGCGAAACGTCTACAAAAAAAAATCAAGGAAGTGTATGTGCATTGGTATTTTGATTTTACTCGTTATTATTGCAGTAGTTGTTGGTGGTGTGCCTACGCCATGGAAAAGTGGCAATGGTTCTTAGTTACATACACCCATTAAGATTAAGAGTTTGAGTGTGAGGCTTATTATTATTATTATTATTATTATTATTATTATTATTATTATATTATATTTACCCTATTCTTGTGTAAATTGAGAGCATTTTTACTTTTTATTTTTCAAAATATTGACTTGATGTTATGTTGTCTCTCAATATGTTTGAGTGTACTTGTTCATTTGGAATTCACATTTTCTTTAATTCATGTTTTATTTGTTCAATTATTCATTTTATTTGTTTCGTGAAAGTTGTTTATATGGTGAGAAGAAATGAAAAATGTGAAGTTTAATAGAATTACAATTATCTTAATTAATATGTAAATTATATAGTTAACAGTTTACATCGAACAGAAAGAAAAGTATATTTATAACATTATAAATATTTTTTATGTGTATTTATTAAGAAAAAATATGAAAAAATATAGTCACTTTTTTTGTGTTTTGGTTCAAGATTTGCATCTTTTATTCTTGAAACAAATGACGTTTTCTCAAATCTTTTTTCAACTTATCTTTCTAATTGATTATAATATATTAATTAGAACAAGGTTCATCAATTCCATTGTCGTCCAGCGGTTAGGATATCTGGCTTTCACCCAGGAGACCCGGGTTCGATTCCCGGCAATGGAACTTTTTTTTCTGCTTCGTTTTGGAAAGCTATAGTGGGTCGATCAATTCGGATCCGCATCCAGATCCAAAGATATCCACTCGTAAAGGTCAAACTCGCTCAATATCTGATAAAGTTATTCAGCAACAACTCAACACTTGGAATCTTTAATCCATGTTTTTTTGCACATCGATTCGAATTCATTCAACTAAGCTTCACTTTCATCACGAAAACGATCTTGCTCAATTTTTTGGTTCCTCATAACAGGTAAAAATTATGGTGTTTTGGTAGTTGTAAGTTCTTAATCCGACTCTTCTTTTCTATTTCTAGTTGTTACTACCTCAGTTTTGGATCCCTGCTTTCCTTCATTCTGCAGCTCTGTTTACGGTTTTTGCTGAGTTTAGGCTATGTTGGTGTGTGTTCTATGATTCGATTTACGTTCGTATTCCTTTTTCTCGTTTCACTTCTTTTTCCAGTAACCTAGGGCACATCGAATTCTCGCCTGTATCTATTAGATCATGTCCTGAAGAATTTCTTGATATATACATGTTTATTTGAATAAACTGAACATGTAAAACAATACTATTAGTTTCTGTTTGTTTATACTTATTAAAGCCTCTGTATCTACTCGACATGCAGGCAGGCATAGGCATTCTATCACATGGGTTCATCGCAGATAGAGAAGGAGGGTAAAAACGAAACCCAACAAACCCAAATCGAAAGTGAAGATGAATCTTTTGAGATTAAGGTACTGTTTTTTGCTCGAGCTAGAGATCTAACTGGAATGACTGATATGAAAATGGAAGTGACATCTGGTACTAGTGCTGGTGATTGCTTAGATAAACTTATTGCAAAATTTCCAGGCTTGAAAGAGCTTCGTGGATGCATGGTTCTGGCTTTGAATGAGGAATACACAACTGAATCTGCCCTTGTTAAGAATAAAGATGAGTTAGCCATTATACCTCCTATAAGTGGAGGCTAGATAATAGAAATCCCATTTGTATATCTACAAATAAAATTTGATTTGCTTTTGTTTGATCATGCTTAATACAATGTTATATAATAATGACAATCTGTATTAAGGTTTCACATAAGAACTTTCCAAAAGTTGAAGATAGAAATCAAGAAATTGACTATGAATTATTTTTTTAGATAGATAATCGCAATAAATAGTAATGTACTTTCGATTATTTGTTTATTATTGCATCCTACTTTTATTCTTTGTATTAGAGCATTGTACTTTGAAAAGTCTACCAAATTATTGCATCCTACTTTTATTCTTTGTATTAGAGCATTGTACTTTGAAAAGTCTACCAAATTATAGTAATGTCATCCGAATACAAAGTAATATCCACTATTATAATAAGAATCACAAAGTACAATGCTGTAATGTAGGTAAAACTTCAAAGTAGAATGCAAAAATGAAAAAGAAAATTTGAAAGTAGAATGTTGTAATAGAAAGAAATGAAAGTGGCATGCTATAATAAACATATGTATGAAATTACATTGTTATTTCTTGCAGTTTGGGCATGTGTCTTGGTATCCAATTGTAAAATACTCCCAACACATCAGTATGTTGTTGATGAGTGGAAAACTTTAATTGGGACTCACTCAATCCAGCTAATTTTATTTTTCAATTTGAAACACATAAAATTGCTTACTTCATGTTCGAGACAGCTACATTCTTTTAGAGGATCGTTATTGGAGAAAAGATGAATCCATAAATTGAGGCCAAAAAGATACCCAAATATATGTGCATCATAGAGTTGAAGGGTTACTCATATACAATGATTTTAAATAGGTTTATGGGTGTCTTTCACGCTTATGTGGTATCACCATTTCTGTTGCTTTTGTACGTCGTCCTTGATCATCAGGACTCCATCCTAAATGACCACGTTTGAGACTAATTTGAAAAACTCAACGATTAATTTCAATAACTCACAAGTGTGTTCTTCATTAGATAACATCTGGTAACTACACTCTCGTGAGTCTGTTTAAAATCCTGCAAATGTGTTCATCATTTGTGGATGAATATTTTCTAAACACTACTTCATTTCAAGTTGAGACATTGTCAACCTATAAGGTACAAAAAAAAAACACAATATCATTGTAAAATAACCTAAACACACAAAACATATTCGAAATTATATTCTTGAACCATTGTTGATTGTTAAATGTTCTCGAATAAGAAGGATTAATGATCATTTACTAATTTACGAACATCAATGCCATTTACTCATCTTTAGCAAAAAACAACTACAATAATCATACAACACTCGAACAGATTGAGAAAACATGTGTATCACAACAAAATGTTACTAATATCTTGTAAGACAACATAAAGTATATATGCAAAACTTTATTTTTGGATCACAAACAGGATATTTAACCTTCTAACAAAACAAGTAGAAAATGAAGAAGTTACTACTACTCCTCATGCTCCCATCCTCCTAATCTCAACCCAGGATCATAGTTTGTGAAGAGTCGGAATTCATTCCCAAGCTTGCTGGAATGCTGTGGCCTAAATCCACATGGTCGCAATCCCAGGAGTTCACCTGCTCTTTCATGCTGCACTGCACCTGTACACATATAACAATCATCTTGTCAACAACAAGAATAAGCATTAAGCAATCAGATGATCAAGATATGGTCTGGACCTGTGAGTAAAAGCAAGAATGATTCTCCAGGCTGCTTAAGAAATCCAATCGTTTCAGAAACCTTTTCCAAGCACTCCTTGCTCTGTTTATCACAATTCACATTAAACATCACCAAAAAATTGAGATGTGTAAATGCCTAAATTGCATGTAGTAATCTGATATAAGTGAAATATTACTAGGTAAGGAGGATCTGCAATGATGATGCGGAATGAATGTTTCATTGTTGATGGGAGCTCTAACGGTTGATTGTAGTCATAGAAGGTGAATTCGTTTCCGTATTGCTCAAATCGATTGTCATATTCGAGAAGTTGCACGGGTAAATCATGGTGCAGTTTCTGAAAACCAGATGACGAGAAGAATGATTAAAATCTTTCGTACAGAAACAGTAATTTTGGGAATTCGCTATGCATCATGACTCTAAATCAATCATATTGGAAATCAAAGATGTTCTTACACTCTTAGACATGGTATGATAAATATAAACACGATATAGGCGTACTGTTTGAATATGTTAAGGTACCTTGAGATAAACGTAGAGAGTGGGACAAGCAATGCAAGCAATGGAAGGGGGAGAATCCATGGACGTATACAGCGCGTTAACTTCTCTCGCAACCGTCTCAGCAGTTTCCCGGTCGTACCAAAACTGGCTTAGTCTCCAATCCTCCGTGACTAACGCCACCTCCTTCTCGTCTTCCGCCACCATCGCTCCATCGTTGTTTGCGACAAGTAAGCCGTTCTGTTCAGATAGAAACTCTTTGAGAGCTGCTAGCGTATGAGAACTTAGCATCGGAGTGTCATCGTCGACGGCGTCGGCGCCGGTGCTTTGGTCTATCACAGCATCCATTTTCTAGGGTTTGTTGACTTTCGAGTCGTTCAGTGTTTAAACACACTACTGTTGATGGCGGTTGAGTGATTTTGCAAAAACAGCCCCTATTGATTGATGAATAACATTTACAGCCTGCTGAGTTAAACCTTTATTATAAGGGAAATATGCATAAGTCCATATATTTCGGCTTTATTGACAAAAAAAAAAAAGTCAATTATTATTATTATTATTATTATTATTATTATTATTATTATTCAACTTAAACAGGGGAACGACTACTACTTGCAATTTGACTGAATTTTCAGATAACCACAAACAATAACAGATTTTATGGTTAACACTTAAGGTTAAAAATTATTATGCAAAAAAAAAAGTATATATATTTTAGCCTATTGACAAAACAATCATAATTGATATTTTGTTTATAGTTTAATCATCGAAACTTGATATTGTTTGCGGTAATCTGAAATTTTAGCCAAATTACAAGTAATAGTCGGTTCTAGTGGTTAAATCGCAAAAAAAAAAAAAAAAAAAAAAGGTAATAACCAGTTCAGTGGTTGAGTTGCAAGAAAAAAAAACATCGATGACTTTTTTGTCCATAGAGAAAAAAAATAAGGACTTTTATGCATATTTTTCTTATTATTGTAAATATTATTAGAGTAAATTATATAATTGGTCATTATGGTTTTGGTTGTTTGTTTGATTTTTTTTTTTTTTATTCACACAGTCCCTATAGTATTATTTCGTTACGTAAAACTACAAATTTTTTTCTTAATTTCTTTTAATCTTTTTATTATTAGTTTTACCTTTTATGATAAATGAAACTGAAACAGGCCCACCCCATACCACCTACTCATTAAGTCCATTACTCATTACCGAAACATGTTAGAATTTAGGGATTTTGAAGAACAATGACTTGAATAATGTATTGGATCGTGATTACAATACTTTTCGAAATTTGTAATTCAACTCTTATTCATGTGGTTGTACGAATGTAAACTTATGGGATAATCCAAGAAACCGAACCAATTACAGGTTTAATCTGATTCACAAATACATAATACTTTGGTTGTGTTATTGTCTTCTTAGAGACAAAACTGCAAGTAATGATGTAATTTTTCGTGATCAATCTGTTTGTCTGCAACAACAATCTTCCTTAAATGCATGGATGACGGCGATTGATGGCAGTTACAATGGAAAATTGGTGCCCATTTAATAATGACCCGATATATGGGTTTTTATGGGAAAATACTTTTTTGGGACCATTTCCTATATAGGAATTCGTTTTTTGTTTCGGGCACTACCCATTGACTCTGTTCGCCAACCCCCACCTAGGGGTACTTCCCCTTGTACTCATGTCCCCCATGGGCGCTGCCCCTAGACTCATGTATTTCTGAATCCATATTTATCAATCTGAGTATGTACCTCGCACATCCAGACTCGAAAAGGTAAAATGAGCTCAACATGTCATGATAGTAATACTAATTACACTAAAATATTTCGATAACACTAAAATCACCAACAAAACGTGTCACACCCCGAACCGGAATGATAGAAACGTCCATGGGTAGATGACGTCATTGTCTGGTATCATAACAATTGAATATAAATGAAACATAGCAAATCCAAACATCATACATTAAGATAACAAACTTACATTGTTTTACATCATGTATTTGTTCTCAAATTACACAAAAGAGGCAATAGTAAGTGAATTCCAAACTCCAGCAAAATAACCCAAAATCCGCAATCCATGAACTTGCTTACTAATTTTATGAGAAAACAAGTTGTTTGAAAAACAACAACATAAAATATGTTGGTGAGTTCATAAGCAGTTTTGTATAAGAGCTATAATAGTTTAGAAACCCAGAAAATCCAATATTTCCTTGTCAAAATGGTTGTAAGTCTTGTTTCCAATCAAGTATAGTTGCATGTGTGTTTTAGTTTATCATTTTCGAAATCGTATAAAATCGTTTTCTCCAGAAAATCATATATTTTCTATTGTACAAAGTAGTAGTCTTAAGACCCTAAGACATGTGTGGTAAATTTCATTTGAGGTATCCAAACAATAGTTGTTTAATATCAAAAGGTGTAACTTGCGTAAATTTCTAAATAATATTGTTATATTCTAAGTGAGTCGTTATAATCATACTAATATGACGAAATGCATGTCTTAACATTCTTCAGGCGTTGGTTTTGTTGAAGACATTTGTCACCCTAAACTGGCCGGTCTAGCTATAGCGAACAACGAAGGTGCAGGGTGTCAACCCCGTATTGTGACATCCCCAAAATCTCGGCCAGAAAAGACCGATTTCATTTATGCTTTTTAAAATAATTTTCAGAGTAAATCCTTTTAATTTTAAAAGAGATGCGGAATTTGTTCCCAAAAACAAAACATGATAAAATAGATATTTATCAAAACATTTCATAAAGAAATATGATTTCATTTCATAATCAAAAGTCGGGATGTCATGTTCCGATACAGATCATAAAGCATAAACGATAGCATTACAAGTCTTTCAACAAATATATACATATACAGACTTGTAAACAAAACAACTTGATGTTCGCCCATCTTAAGCTCTTGCGCCACTTCCTGTAAAATAAATCAACTGAGTGGGTTAGGCTTGGGAGCCTGGTGAGCATGTAGGGTTTTCAACCCACAATAAATAATTTAATTAATTATTATCAACCAACAATAACCCAGTTACCCATTCCCGTTATTCTCACTTTATGTTCCTAAAATAACTAACACAAGGGACCTAGTCTAAGAATATTTCATCGGGGCGACTACACATGCTTCGGGGTTCCTCAGCAATATAAGTCAAATAAGGCAACCATGG